AAATAAACAATCAAGACATTTCTCTGCTTGTCGCCTCTATTCAACGCCCTATTTGTTTAGAGAGTGTTATCTTATATGGCGTAGGTACACATCCCAGTGACCACCCACAAGAACTCCTATCACTAACATGAAAATAAGAAAGAATTATGCTTTACATGATTGTAAACCTGGGCTCACTGACCTCTCAACCATTGGAACTTTCATTGACACACTTTAGATCATTAAGGAGGTTGGCTGCTTTAGCCGATTCCAATCAGGGCTGAATTGGGTGCAGATTGTGTGAATAAAGTGTAAATATACCATCATGCATGAATTGCATTTCTGTGTCGGTGCTGAATCTTTGTATGTTGATGTTCTAGTAATCCACCCCAAAATGTCCCTTGTGGGCCAGTAAAGTTTATCTTATCTTCAATTATTTGAAACCAGCTTGTAGATGGAGATACGCCAGGACATAAATCTCCCCTTCAGGGAATCAAATCCACTTTTTTTTTGTGTAAAACGTCGAAAAGGGATTTCCAACAGCTCTCATGACTTGTTATTACTCAAACAAAACTAGATTAGTTCATTGAGGACCCACATTCTGCAACAATGCTTGAAGACACGCCGCTTTGTGGCACTTTGAAAAAGAAGCGTAATTTTGTCATTCAAATAATTTTTTCATTTCTGTTTTCTTTATTTGAGACTTAAATCGACAGGCAGCAACATGCATTCTAAGAACTAAGCAAATTCAGCATTTCTGATTTTGTGATGTGCTGCTGGTTGATCATAATTGATCGCTTTTAAACACAAGGAGGCTATCCCGAAAAATGCTATTTTTTCCCTTTGTTCAGTTCCTTTAGGAGGATTTTCTCTATAACCAAACAAATATACCCACCAATGAAACCACACTTCTCCTACAGGTAGGGCAATGGCCACTTTTGGTATACGTCACGTTTTCTGGACATCCCCCCCCCCCTGAAATCTGGGTTAGCCAGCTTGTCCTTAAAAGCGACCAATTATAGTGTCCACTACATCCTTAAAGTGTTAAAACTCGAATCACCCACCTTCTCTCAGCCTCTGTGTAGGGCGAGTATATGGAGCTGAGAGCCGTGGGGTTGAAAGAGGTCAGAGGTGAGCCGGTGGAGGGGAAGTAACTGTTGGGCACGTGGTACATGCTGAGGTCACACTCCTTCTTCCGGCCCCGCCGTCGAGATCGGCGCCTCTGACGGAAGTCTCCACGCATGAAGTCCTGGATGTTGGCGGGATGGATGGCCCAGTAGTTGCCCTTGCCGTCCTCGCACCGGCCAGCCTGGTCGGGAATAAAAAGTCATTAAAAAAAATATTTACGGACAGTTTATCTGATTTTATAGCGAAACATTTGTTTTTATTTTAGTAGAGGTTTTGCGGCGCTCGCAACTGCATAAGGTCATATAAGTGCCAGGGGGTGGATGTCAACAGAGAAGTCCTTACAGGGAATCAAGATTACTCTGTTCACCTCTCTAGCTTCAACAGAGAACAAAGTCTGCTTCGACTATCAAGGCACCCCGGAAATAGCGGGTCACAAGAGTGTGACAAACATACAAAAGAAGTAGAGGAAAAATGATGATAGTAAGGATTGGG